TCGCGTCCTCTCTCTTAATGTTTTTTTTTTGAAACGGAGGCAAAAGCTTTGCCTCATCCATTAAATAAGAGAGAATAGAGTTTGTTACACGCCACCGAAATACACCACATGCGGATTTCTCGCGTGCGATAAAAGACCCTAATTTCTTAGCTCCGGCGATGACCCAAAGGTTTGCCTCGGTAGAGATGGACGAAAGCAAGGTTGGTGGTGGGGCACTCTTATGCTTAAAAACTCTTGCGTTCCGCTCGTTCCAAATTGTCCATGAGACTAGCATGGTGATGGAGGCCTTGGCTTGACGATCTGGCATTCCTTCGACGCAAGTGCTTGCCTACCAGTGTTGAACGGTTTCAAACAAGGGCCAAGCGGAAGTGTCGAGCCCGAGCATGGGGAATTTCCCAATGACCAGAGACCAAAGGCACCGGGTGTAGCGGCACTTGTAGAAGAGATGGGGCCCACACTCTTGCACTCTCTTGCAGAGAGGGCAAACATCACAATTTGGCCATCCTCGCTTTGCCAATCTATCCGCCGTCCAGATTCTATCTTGAAGAGCTAGCCAAGCAAAAAAAATTACTTTTGGAGGCGCCCAAACCTTCCAAACCATCCTGTCCATGGGCGACAAGACCATCCCTAGAAATTGCGCTCTGTATGCGGAAGTCGCCGAGTACTTTCCATTGCTCGTATGCTTCCAAATGATTTCATCCTCGGTGAGCTCGTCAAGGTGGACCTCATTAAGAAGCATCCAAAGAGTGAAGAACTGTGTGATGTGCTCGGCGGTTACGTTGGTGGGGGTTTTGATCTTGAGGATCCACGCGTTGTGCTTGAGGGCCTCCCTGACCTTCCAACTTTTTCTCTTGGAGGCTTTGAAGATGAGAGGGGCAATGTCTTTTGGCGAACGCCCAAGAAGCCAAGGAGAGTCCCAAAAGGGTGTCCTCGCTCCGTTACCAACGGTGATGGTGGTTGAGGCATAGAAAAAGTTGAGGTCCTCCGCATCACATGGGTTTCCCATCCCCACCCACATCTTGTTGGGCTCTTTCCATTCGTACCACGGCCATCGTAACCGGAGAGCCCTCGTAAACTTGGAGGTGTTCAGGACCCCAAGCCTCCGTACGAAAGAGGCCGACAAACTGTCTCCCAGTTCACTTTGCATTTGGCCCTCGATGTCTTTTCTGAGCCGGACCATAGGAAGGCTCGTTCAAGCTTGTTCACGTTGTGGAGGATGGTTGGCGGTATGACCAAAGGGGTGGCGGGGTAGACCACTTGGGAAGTGATCACGGACTTGACTAGGGTCGTTCGCCCGATGGTGGTGATGTTTCGGCCATCATACGTTGGCAACTTGCTTGCCACTTTATCCACGAGGAATTGGAAGTCCACTAATTTCAGCTTCCACACGGAGAGGGGGAGACCCAAGTATCGCAAAGGAAAAGACGCCCGCGCAGCCGGCAAGCTTTGAGTTAGGGAATGCAAATCGAGGTGGTTGCAACGAATGGGCACCACCGAGCTCTTTTGGAAGTTGGTGCAAAGACCTGTGACATCCCCAAATCCCCTCAAAATGCTAGCAAAGTTGTCAACATCCTGCTTGATCGGTGCCAGGAAGACGGCCGCGTCGTCCGCGTAGAGAGAGGTCCTCATCATGGCCCCCCTTCCCCGGATTTTATGGAGGAGCCCCTTCTTTGTTGCCACATCAAGGATTTTTTGTAGCGGGTCGATGGCGATGACAAAGAGAAGCGGGGAAATAGGGTCTCCCTGCCGAAGCCCCTTCCCATGCTTTATTGGACAGCCGGCAATACCATTCAGGATGATCCTCGAGGATGAAGAGCTAAGGAGGGCCGCGATCCAATCCCTGAATTTACTTGGGAATCCTCGCCGCTGGAGGAGATCAAGCAAGTACTCCCACTTCACGGAGTCAAAGGCCTTGCGAATGTCGAGCTTGAAGAGGAGGGATGGGGTCTTCCTCTTGTGTAGGCGTCGGCAAGGTTGCGGACATACAAGTAATTGTCGTGAATGCTTCTTGTTTTGATGAAGGCGCTTTGGGCATTAGAGACGAGATTTTTCATGTGTGGGCCTAGTCTCATGGATAGCACCTTCGCAATAATCTTTGCGATCGCGTGGATGAGGCTGATGGGTCTATAGTCGGCGATCCCCTCCGCCCCTTCCTTCTTGGGCAAGAGCACCACATTTGCGGAGTTGAGCCACTGGAGGTTTGAGGTGTGTAGGCAGTCAAAATGTGTGATCACCCTCATGAGATCAGGCTTAATGATGTCCCAACACCTCTTAAAGAAGAGGCCCGTGAACCCATCTGGCCCCGGCGCCTTGTCACTTGGCATGTCGTTGATCGCATCCAGGACCTCACTCTCGGCCATTAGGGAGCCAAGGTCATGCAAGTCAAGAGGCTCCAAATTTAGCTCATCCCAATTGAAATCTTTGTGGCATCGGGGGCCTCTCTTCATGACATTGGAAAAATGGTCATGGATTATCTTTTCCTTGGCGTCGTGCTCGGTGACCCAACCATGCTCATTTTTTATTCTATGGATATGATTTTTTTCTCCGCCTTGCATTGACTCGGCGATGGAAGAATTTTGTATTAGCATTCCCATCTCTAAGGTTGGCAATTCTCGCACATTGCTTCTTGCGCGATCTTTCGAGCGCCGCCAAGGCGATGACCCTTCTCTTGAGCTTGGCCCGGAGCTCAATTTCTTCGGTGGAGAGGAGCCTATCCTCTTGGGCGATGTCGAGGCGAAATATCACCAAGAGCGCGGCCTGGTGGTGAATTTTAGCCTTGGAGAAAAGACCTCTACTCCATTCAGAGAGGCGGAGAGCCGTCTTCTTGAGCTTGTGGTAAAGAATGAGGTATGGCTCAGTGTGGTCAACCCTCTCGTTCCACGCATTTTGAACCACCTCGTTGAATCCGGGCATGGATGCCCAGAAGTTTTCAAATTTAAACACTCGAGGCCTTCTTGGTCCCTTGTCATCAGCAAGAAGAAGCGGACAATGGTCGGAGAGAGAGGAGGAAAGCGCATTAAGGACATGAGTGTTGAAAGTTGTGTCCCACTCGGCGTTGCAGAAAAAAGAGTCAAGCTTGCATAAGGTTGGATTTGCCCTCTCATTGCTCCAAGTGAATCTCCGGTTTTGAAGGTGGATCTCTTTGAGTTCACAACTGTGGAGCGTTGCCCTGAAACGGTTGATCCTGCCGCGGTTCACATTTCTCTTATTTTTATCTCGCGCCCTATAAATTTGGTTGAAGTCGCCTGAGGCAAGCCAGGCCACCCCGGTCGGTGGTTTCTCTGCCAGCAGCTCGGCAAAGAAAGCATCTTTGCAAGAGGAGTCTGAGGGACCGTAGACGGAGGTGATCTTGAAGAGCATGTCGGTCCCTCGCACCCTGACCATGGCGGAAAGGCAAAACGCCGTGGTGTTGATGCAGGAAACATCCACAAAGAGGTCATCCTCTCTCTTAATGTAGGTTTTGCGGTTAGGAAATAATTTATTTAGCTAGGAGACTATGTAATAACAACTGATTATACCCTTGTGATCACATAAACCATATTCGATTGGACGGGTTATAGAATCTTGGCGTACATGCTTGAGTTCCAAAAGCAGGAGTTTTACAGATATAAGATGCAACTAGTGTTTATTGATTATGATCCATCCACATGATTGGTTGCCACTACCCACTAATCAGCAAGGCTAGTCGAAACAAATAATCACGTCTAGATATTCTTGTCACGGCGACCTAGCTAGCTCGGACATGGAGATCTCTCCCCGGAATCGGATATGTCGCCCTTCCTCCGAGCTTTCCTCGGCTCGTCAACACGTACACACACACACACGCAAAACAAACAACAGCAGACAGACGGCGCACACGTGCAACTGAATATCATTTTTGTGAAAAGGTATCAGACGTTAAGCTAAGATTGTTAAGACTTAATTAACACAGTTAATTAAGGGCATTGTCACCCATGCTACATAAAGCGCCCAGCCGGGAAAGCTAAACCGGCCGGCGAGGAGTATACTTTACCCATGCCTAACGTGTCCACAATCTTGTCAATTTACGCTCTTTCGGACAATCGGCATTTGTAAGGCATGTTTGTTCTTTTTTCCTTCTCTTTTTTTTTTGCCGGTGTGTGGCGACTTGGTATTAACAAATATTCAGTAAAGTGTGGTTATCGTGAGAATTCTGTTACGAAAATTAAAGCGAACGGAGCATGCACCTAACACGGATGATACGCATTGCGCAAAGTATTCACATTTGGATTAAAATGCTGGTAAAATGAAATGTAGTGGAACATCCTTGCTCCATGATAGGTATTGGCCTCATAGAACCATCTATCCATCTAGGATAGAAAGAGAAGAAGCACGACAGTTGAGTTATATTACATATCTGCTCTACTGCTACTCCGTACGACAGTATAGGGAGGTTGATGGTATGAGATGTATCCACAACTGTCGTTGAGAATGACAAGATGGATACGAGACAGAGACACGCATGCGGTCAACGACTGCACTGTGCATTGCAGGGCTATCCTCAACAGATGAATGGTTGGCGCGTCAACCAACGCACTGTGCCACAGCCCCTGATGATATAATGGTTGTGCTCGTGAGGTCACAAGGCAAAAGGAAAATGTGCACGCTTGGGCATGAACAAACATCAACGCGTTTGGCCTGCATCTCTACACAGACTCGGTGCGGGTTGTTCTGAAAGTAACACTACCCTGCCCCGTTTTGCAACAAAAAGGGAATATCTGCAATTCAAAAATCATTTTTCAAAAGAGATATCTTGCAGCCTTGATTAGACATCTAAAGGTATAATAATCCCCAGGACTCACGATATGGTGAAACAGGTAAATGCATCAGCTACAACCGACAGGTAGTCTAATTGGTATGTACTATGCTGGAAGTGCCGAGTACAACGCACATACAAATCCAACCAAGACAACATGTTCAATCACACAAGGTTACCTAAAATCGACAAACCTAGGGTATTATCTTGCCTACCATTAAGGGTTTCATGAGGCCTTTGCCGGCTCATCGCTGGGAAGATCATCCTCATCATGGTAGATGTTCTCCGCCATCTGCCATATCTGAAGGATGTTGTCTTCAGCAACGCTTGCAAGCACCCAGTCCTCACATGGGTTCCAGGAGAAGTCTGAGATTTTGCTTGTGTGGCCTCCATGAATGAACAAGAGCTCAGGAGGGCCGTCCTCCGCATCCTCCGGTGTTTGCTCCTGATCAATTCTGTCGACACAAAAAACATCATTCACATCAAGAGGGAAGTGAGGAAACGAAAAAGGAACAATGAAAAACATCTGAAAGCTGGACGGCTGTTTACCTGCTTAGATCCCAAACCATCAGTCTCCTTCCCAGGCAACAAGATGCAAGTATAGTTTCATTCTTTGGGCTCCATCCAACTTGAAATACTTCCTCTCTGATTACACAATCAAATTCAGATTCAAGATCGATGAATAACACAAACATATACTCATTTCCTTCTAAGCTAAAAATAGGATGGATGGAACTTCAAACAGAAAAGTGATGGTCAAACTGAAGCATACTTGTGACAGTCAAAAGTGTGCAGCGAAGTATCAATCTTCCGAAGATCAAATAATTTGACAGTCTTGTCGGTTGAACCAGTTGCAACAACCCATTCATTGAAAGGATTGAAAGCCAGGCAATTCACCTATAAATATGACATAAGGAAACAAAGTGGAAAGTGTAAGAACATATTTCTTTATACAAACAACAGAAACAAAGGCAATTGGCTCTTCCAGAAGAATAATATAGGGAAAGCAAGGTGTGCCCAGCCTCTGAATAGAAATCATGCACGAGTAGAAACTACTAGAGTGATGATATGACTATATGAGTATTCATAAAATTGCTACCAGATGCCATCTTTCTTTTCTGGATACAGCAGTTGAGGTTTTCAAGTGAAATAGTTTGTGCAGCCGGATAAATACAATGTAGTTTTCCTGCGATCACTACAGCAGGAAAAATGAGATCATTTAGGATGTCCTCGGCTAATTTGTTTACAACCAATACTTGAAGAGAGGACCTAGATTCTAGAACAATGAACGTGTTTGACACCCCATATGTTATCGTTATACAAATATGCCACTCTGTTTTGTATCCTGAACCACCATTGGCTGCATCAGCTTCAGGGGTAAGAACCAATAAACAAATTAACAAGATATCTAACCATGATATTGTATTCTCGAGTCACATAATGCTAATAGTATAGTACTAAACAATAGTAAACAGAGACTTGAGGCTCCCCAGGAAACCTACCTCGCCCTGGTGTGCCACCACAGACTGTACAGGCTTGGTAGGTGCAGGAGTACGCATATCCCAAATTAGGAGATGATGATCATCACCAACTGAGCCGAATAAGTATTCATGCCTCAAATGCCAAGCAACATCTTCGACAACGCCATCATGAAACTAAACAGAACAGAACCAAAAAAACATCGTGTTAAGCCACTAACAGATGTGCTGGTCATATGAAAAGTATCAGTTGAATAATCATACAAGTGAAACTTCCATGTTTTTGCTATAGTATAACTAGGAAAGTTATTGGTCCAATGAACTGGGGACCATGTCAATTGACTGAAAATACACATGGTGCTAAAAGAGTTCTTTTTTCATTGGCAGCTTGGTCGGGAAGAAAAACAGACCCCCTTATTTTCCTAAAAGGTGAAGTTATCCGTGCACTACCAATATGTTTCCAATTGAGTATTGTTACTGTGTAGCACTGATTTTTTTATGGCCCTGCATTCTGCAAAGCAGAAGTTCAAGCAAGAATTGACCTCAGCTTCTTACAAAGATAAACTTCAAAACAAAATCAGCACAGATACCAAGATCAGTAATCTCACTTGTTCACATATTCAACACACTGAGCATTAAACAGTACTACTGTTATGATTTATGATGCTTAACTGACTATGGACCATGCCATGTGGTACCAACAGCTAGAGAACCAAAAGGAAGGAATTGACAGTCTTAGATAATAACACTGCCAGAGCTGCCATGTCTGAGTGTGAAATACAGACTATAATTCTATTCTTCAGGATAACACAGCAAAACCTGCTGACATGGACGGTGCATCACCCAAAATTACCCATGAAAGCTGCTGTTAGACCTAATGTGAATGGTTTCAACTAGGAGGGTGTAAAATAAGTGTCGTAATTAGGATGCAGATAGACTTTTTCCTCATGTATACCAGCTTCACAAAAGGCCATCAGGAATATGTTATGTATATTATTTCTCCAAGGATGAATACCAGATATGACTAGCACACAAACACATTCAGAGAAACATGCTATCAGAATGGCATGTCATGAGGAAAGCTTTAACCAATGGTACAAACAAAGCTATGTGTTAATGCACTCAAATGGAAAAAGGATCATGAGCCATACCTTAAAAATCTGGTATGCGTCGAGAGTTTTATTTTTACCATTTGCTGTGATGTCCCATAAGCAAATTTGAGCATCATCCGATCCACTCAGCAAATGACCCTCTTTAAAGATACTCCAGGACAGGCCATATCCTTCAGAGTTGTGTCCCTTCAGCCGTAAATCAGGATTGCACGCACCATCTAGTGGAGGCTTTGATGGGTGCTTGCTATAATCAAAGACATACACTTCTGCACTGACTGTCTTGGTAGCAATAATAAATGAATTTTGGGGCATATATCGAGCCCGATTAACTTCTCCATCATGATTTATCTGTTGAACTATTTGCACCTACAAAAGACAGACAAAATGCCTCCAAAATGTGATTTTTTGCACCATCAAAATCAAAATAAATAGCAAGAATGGTACTCCCTCCGTTCCCAAATACTTGTCTTTCTAGGCATTTCAAATGGACTCAACATACGGATGTATGTAGACATATTTTAAAGTGTAGATTCACTCATTTTGCGTCGTATGTAGTCACTTGTTGAAATCTCTAGAAAGACAAGTATTTAGGAACGGAGGGAGTACATGGCATGTTATCTATATGCAATAAAAGTTTCTTCACGAAAACAATTGTTCTAGAGGTATACAAATATACCCCAGGTTATCTTAATCTGTTTTCTAACAATGGCACAAGTGCAAGTCATATTTGAAGGCCTGGCCAAACTTACAAATCATCAATACTATATTTGTCCAATGAGTTCTGGATTGCCACATATCCTTACAGTCCAAGTACAATCGATAACTGGTTTGTTGATCAAATAGACAACAACTCAAAGGCGCATCCAAACATTGTTACATGCGAAAAGGACACCTGAATTCAACAGAAGGGTTTATATTCCAACTTCCATCTATATCACAGAAAGATGCTATTATTATATGGGTCCAACAAAGCAACACCACTGTTAGAATGATTCAAAATCAATTGGTTATGGCCTTTTACATAGCAGCATGAATTGAGGACTCGTACTAGTAAGCAAAACAAGTAGTTAAATTAACAGGCACGTGACAAGAAAGCACAAACATCTCAATCACAAAAACATGCGTCTAGCAAATTTTGAGCTCCATGACTCGGCTTAAGGTACATAATATAATTATAGACATGGCGTTAATCTACTAGGGTACTTCAATGAAAAGAAGTTAAATCAACAGTCTAACACAATAGATCAAAGCAATTAACCAAACCCCATATATATTCAACAAAGGGATCAAACATAAAACAGACAGTAGGTCAACTGGTGTCCAGGTATGGGAACAGAAATGAGAGATTCATGGAAAACAAGAAAAATCTACATGAACAAGTGAAAATGCTAAGTAAGTATTAAAGATATCATCAGACATCCCAAGTTTTCTCAATAGCACACAATAACCAACTCAGTATGCATTGGTGACCAACAATAAAACCCGTAAAAAATGCAGTAGTGCTCACAACAGCCCACTACTCTTCACGAAAATCACCCAACCTGATAAAGTACCCAAACAAGTTCACAAAAAATTAATCTAAAATCTACTCCCTCCGTCCCATAATGTAAGACGTTCAGATCCCTAATCTGACAGAACAATTCATCTCAAATCTGTCATGTGGGGCCAGCCCTAGCCAGCCCTTGGATCAATAAACGCAAGCAGAGAATATCCTACAACCTTCCTCCCTTGCTCCTGCGCCACGGCGCCCCTCCTCACCCCCTTCTCCAACCATAGGCCGGCAAGGGCCTCGCCCTCGTCCTCCTACCAACCACGACTACAACCTGCGCGGCAATCAGCCGGGCCGTGACAAAATCAATATTGGGCATGCAATGCCCGATGGGCCACAATAAAACAAATTGCCCAGAACTTCTCACAGTATCTCAAATCAGTACCACAACCACCGAGAAAACTGTTGCCAAATAATCAGCAAAGGAACCATGACTCAACCTAGTGAATCAGCCACAAACTAGGAACTCCATTAGTTCATAGATCGCATCATAAGCAAGTACGAGAGAAGACTACTACCTTGTTGGATTCTGAACAAATCTGACTATCGTCATCGTCCAATTTGGCCATGGCATCCTCAGGAGGTAGATGGACTTGGGCAACTGTGAGGTAACTGGGATTGCCTACAGACACGTGTGTGCCAAACAACACTTTTTGGACAGACTGTTCATGGCTAGGGAGCCACTGCACAGTGAGCAATGGCCACTCTAACGCGTGTGATGATGATATCATATAGAAATGGCGCATTACACTTCCAAATCGCGAATTCCTCCAAAATGTGTTTATTCTTCATATCTTCATCCTCATGAATCTGTACCTCCTCCGCATGAAATTCCTCCTCTATTCCCACAGACATCTCCAGTCCTTCTTTCGCTCGTCCTTCCTGCATGTGGAAGTAGGGGATTGGGATTCTAGGGTTTGGATCTAGGGGGTTGGGATTCTAGGGTCGGGATTCTGGTGTGGAGGAGATCAAGGTTTTACTGGTTGGTTGGGAATCATATCTGGGCTAGGCAAGTTTG